ATATATATTTGTCTTCGGCTGGAGTGCTTGCTTCATGCTCATACTTGTTAAATCGTCTAGCCGCTGACTTTTGCAACGCCTATGATAGTTTGTCGATTCGTTGATTCTGATGCGAGTGTTGCGTAGCGAAGCCCACCGTCGCATTTCATGGCTCATCGCAGAGAAATCCTTCAAGCGCAAATTCATCGGATTGTTGGCTAGGGGAATAGGAACTGTCCCGGTGGCCCGAGCGATGGATAAGGTCAAACCTGGTGTTGGAACTATATATTTGCCTGATCCTGTTAATCAGCCGACTCTTTTGCGAGGGGTGGGGACCAACTTTGAAGCCCCGGGGTTTGAAAAGGAAGGCACGATCTCTCTTCCTACCATCAATGGTATTTCGCACAGTGCTATCATCGCCGAAATTCGGGGTCCCGAAGAATTGATAGTCAAGAAACCGTTCAAAGCCAAGGACGCACTTTTCCAGCTCACAGGACGTCATGATATCACTGATGATGGAGCATTTACCGGGGACGGCTCCGCCAAAGACCCCGACTTTCAAGGATCCAAGTTCAAAGTATCACCTCACGTCGATCAGACGGCGGTCTACCAAGCAGTATTCGGCAGACTCAACGCAGGTGGCTGTGTGGGTATCTTTCCAGAAGGTGGCAGCCATGATAGGCCAAGTCTACTTCCATTGAAAGGTATAGCTTTTTCCCTTCGATTCGCCTCCTTGCTTGTGGAAACCTCGGCTGATTGAATCCTAGCTGGTGTGGCATTGATGGCGCTGGGTACTCTGGCGGACAATCCGGACTGTGGCTTGAAGATCGTTCCGTGCGGAATGAACTATTTCCACGCTCATAAATTCCGTTCAAGGGCCGTGATTGAGTTTGGTAACCCTATAGAGGTACCAAGGGAGCAGGTAGATCAGTTCAAACGAGGTGAAAGAAGAGAAGCCGTCGGCGCGCTGCTTGACACCATTTATCAGGGTCTTGTATCTGTAACTGTAACTAGTCCTGATTATGAGACTTTGATGGTTGGTGAACCGGCCCTTTCCAACCATGGTATTTGTGACTGACAAGTTTCTAGGTAATTCAAGCCGCTCGTCGCCTATATAACACCAAGGGAAAGAACCTCCCGCTTCCCATGGTGGTCGAACTCAACCGCCGCCTTGTTAAAGGTTATACCCACTTCAAGGATGACCCTCGTGTTATACACCTCAGAAAGGCTGTTGCCGACTACAACAAGCAGCTCCGTCTTCTAGGGATCCGTGATCATCAGGTAGAGTATGCGAAGTTCTCGTGGGTTCAGGTCATTGCTACCTTGATATATCGTCTGGGCAAATTAGCTCTCCTGACCATCGGGACACTGCCTGGCTTGATTCTTTTCGCACCTGTTTTCATTGCAACGAAGTATATCTCCAAGAAGAAGTCGCAAGAAGCACTGGCCGCATCTACCGTGAAACTTCAAGGACGTGATGTCATGGCAACCTGGAAGCTACTCGTCGCCCTTGCTTTCGCCCCCGCAGTGTATGCATTTTACACTGCAGCCTTCACCTGGTGGGCGTACCACAACCGTATCCAGGGGCTTGTTCCTGACTGGATGCCTTTGTGGTTGATCGTGCCTATCGGGATGATCTTATTCCCAACCATTACTTTCGCAGCGCTTCGTATCGGCGAGGTGGGCATGGATATCGTGAAATCTCTGAGACCATTGGTGCTATCCTTGAATCCGTCCTCAGCCAATACTCTTGTGAAGCTGCGCGAAAGGCGCGCTGCACTTACTCAACAGGTCACCGAAATCATAAATACTCTGGGCCCAGAGCTATTCCCGGACTTTGATGCTGCAAGAATCGTCACCGATCCCTTCCGTGAAGTCCACCGACCAGCCGGAAAGACAGAGGTTGATCATGCACCCGTACCTGAAATCAGAAGAACAAGCGCGACAGAGACGGAGGTGGAATCTCCAACACAAGAGCCTCTTCCTCGCAATGAGTCATTCCACAACCTTGCCAACATTGGCTTTTTCTCTACGAGACCTTCGAGCCGTTCACGAAGTCGTAGTGGCTCGTTTGGTGGTCGACCTGGCTCGTCAGGGCAACAGTTGAAGCCATTGAGCCAGGTGACAACGAAAGATGGGTTTGAAGAAGTCAGCTCGAAGATTCGCGATGCTATGCGAGAACGGGGCGAACGCAGGCGTCGGAGGAGCGAGGACGGAAGCTGGGACATGGCCAGCTCCGGTCCAGGCACGCCTTCGAGTGAAGGAAGCCGGAAAGACTTATAATGTTGAAGATGTGCGTCCAGCGCAGTAGCCATGTATTCCGCACACCAACGCTAGGTTGGAGCATGTGTTTAGGTCCTTTCACTAATGTCAATGAATTATGGGACGAGCATCTTGTGTATTGGCTAGCCTAGGTTTTGATACCTGCTAGAATATATATATGTAATGAGATAGTGATCTGATTCCTGCAAACACTCCGTTTCTTAAACAGCAACTGCCAGTATAGTCTTCCTCCCTCTTCTTTCAGGCGGTATATCGATGGCATCAACCCAGTGTCAGAACGGGGCACATTGATATAATCAGGTGGTCACTGTCAGGGTTTTAAGAGAGGAGGGAGCTATTCCAACGGTATCCGTAATTCATGAATGCATAATGCTTTGCAGGGGCGCGGAGAGCACAAGCATATGAAGTAGGTCTATTGCTATTGCGGATAACTTTGCCGTCGCCGCTGATGATGAACAGAATAGGCCAGCCAAGACCTCGGACGTTGGAATATTGAACCACAGTTTACACGTGGGCCAGGAATGTTCAGTGGAATACCCTACATACAACGTACATCATTGCCCCTTTGACCCACCATTTTGGCGGACTGGATGATCTGGCCTTCTCATTATTATTGGCATTAATTATCTACATCTCTATTGTCCTTTTCTTGTCAGCCCACAGCCGTCGATCAGCTAGCTATCTGTCTGCTCATTTGCTTGGCGATTTTGCCTCCTACGACATACAATCACCGCCCGCTTGCGTCCAAATTTAGCACCTTCGATTCCGCGTTGGAAGGAAAATAGTGTAGCCTGATGGACACAGCCCTACGAGTTAAGACCTTCTTCCTGTCATACCGTACTTAGTGGGAGGCGTTTCCGTGTGAGAGGCCAGCGTCAGAATTCCAGTTCTCTTGGTGTCGAGAAATTTAGAACAGTGTTACGACGCTCTCTCGCATCCGTCCGCTCGTTCGGCAGGAGAAGGATTCCACCAGCGTCGCCGGTGCTCGGAAGCCACGGCCATCATTCCCTATAGATCCTCCGATCAGAATCATTTGGTCACACTATTGACCATGGCCACGTCAATGCACCTATCGAAGCTCCGGAATTGGTTCCTCGCGTCTCCTCCTGCCGAGTTCATCATAGCCAGACTGCGCGAGCTATTGATCGGAGCGCTCAAGCAAGGGCCGGTCCCACAGCACATTGCATTTGTCATGGATGGAAACCGGAGATTTGCAAGATCGCATGGCATTGAGACTGTAGAGGGGCATAATCTGGGATTTGAGGCTCTGGCAAGGGTAAGCTGCCCCTGTTCGAAGATTTGCCTGTTGCTGTAAAAGCGGCCACCGGGTTCTCGGTCATTCGTCTGGTACTGACTGTTCGTGATTGGTTGCTAGATCCTTGAAGTCTGCTACAAATGTGGTGTGAAAGTTGTGACAATATATGCGTTTAGTATCGAAAATTTCAATCGCTCAAAGTTCGAGGTGGATGCATTGATGGATATGGCCAAAGTGAAATTACAGCAAATGGCACAACACGGGGACCTTTTGGATCGCTACGGAGCAAAGGTTCGAGTGCTGGGTCGGTTGGACTTGTTGAAGCCCGACGTCCTTGAAGCGGTAAACCGAGCTGTGGAAATGACTAGCCGCAATGGTGAACGTGTCCTTAACATCTGTTTCCCGTATACGTCACGAGACGAGATCACCGGTGCTATTCGCGATACTGTGGCCGATTACAGCAAGCCCTTGAAATCCATCCGCTCAAGCTCGTCCGCGCGAACACCATTCTCCGAAGCTCAAATTGCGCTCAAAATCCGTGCTCAAGCACAGAGTGCGAAGGTGGAACAGGACACAATTAGCGATAACGAATCTACCTCCGTGTCGTCAGCACAAGAAGAAGATGCAAGTGACAGAAGTGAAGGTCCAGACAAGGTCTATGAAGCGGGTTCCGGGTTCTCCTCCTCTACAACCCTACATCTCGGTGGGCTTCAGGACGCGGCGAATGGGAAGGCTCCAGAGCCAGGGAACCCATCGGGATCGGAAAAGATTGTCTTTCCATCACCAGATACCATCACCCGTCAGACACTAACAGATCATATGTTGACCAAGGGCAACCCCCCACTTGATCTACTGGTCCGAACATCTGGAGTGGAACGTCTTAGTGACTTCATGCTCTGGCAGTGCGATGAGGAGACGGAGATTGTCTTCCTGGATGTGCTGTGGCCCGAATTCGATCTGTGGCATTTCCTGCCTGTCCTTCTCGGCTGGCAAAGGAGGATCTCTAAGGCAAAAAAGAACCCCGAAGCTGAAGGAAACTTTGATGGTGAAAGCGCTGAAGTTTCTGATGCCGAACTCAATTCCAGTGGAAAGGTCAAGGGCTTGTAAATAATAAGGCCATTGCATGGGGCAGCCGGGAGTTTGGAGTTTTTCTAGTGAATAACATTATACCAAAGTATCAATTTGTATATATTGACAAAGACACCTAACCTGATACTAAAATAATAACCACTACAAATACATCTCCCTGTGGGAAGTGAATTTCATCACAAAAGCAGGACTGATAGCTACAATTCTGGGGATATGAAGTCTCCGATACCGCAGCACTTATCAACATATGGAGCACACGTGACACCACATGACTCACTCCACAAGAGCGACAGCGGGGAAGTGGTGGGAAAGAAACGGTCGAAGCACAAGTGATTATTGCCCTGTCTCGGACTCAATTCACCTGTCTGGCATTCAATTGTCATCAATCACCAAAATGGTCAAGCAAATTGCTGGTTCCAAGGTCCTTCTTCTGGGCTCAGGCTTCGGTATGACTCTTTTACTCCTGATCATGCTCCGGAGACATGGAACCCCGCATTCTCTTGGACTTTTTTGGCTGATAGACTGGTAGTCACCAAGCCCACCGTTGAGGTTCTCACCAAGGCTGATGTGCATGTCACTGTTGGTACGTATACACTATGCTAATATAACTCCTTTTTTTACTTGGAGGTTGCATATGCCTTTCACGATCCCCACTGGACCAGTGGCAGCTGGCTTGAACGGATGAAGCCGGATGGATGTATCCTGGACATCTCATTTGCATCACAAAAATTTTGATTTGCATAGACTGACAAAATGTTACTTTCCTGTGATTTGCAGCCTGCCGAACCCTCGAGAGCGCCCAGAAGCTCTGCGAAGGCTTCCCCAACACCAAGGCCATTGCCCTCGATGTAAACGATGCCACTGCTCTGGACAAGGCTCTCGAGCAGGTTGACCTCGCTATCTCCCTGATTCCTTACACCTTCCACGCCCTTGTTATCAAGTCCGCCATCCGCACGAAGAAACATGTCGTCACCACCTCATACGTCTCGCCTGCCATGATGGAGCTGGACGAGGAATGCAAGAAGGCGGGTATCACGGTCATGAACGAGATTGGTCTGGACCCGGTATGTTCAGCATGCACATTGCGTTATAATGTTGGGATCTGAGTTGTTCTTCTGACTCTGCTTGTAGGGTATCGACCACTTGTACGCCGTCAAGACCATCTCCGAGGTACACGCCGAGGGTGGCAAGATCACTTCTTTCCTCTCCTACTGTGGTGGTCTCCCTGCCCCCGAGTGCTCCGACAACCCGTTGGGTTACAAGTTCTCGTGGTCCAGCCGCGGTGTTCTTCTCGCCCTCAGAAACGCCGCCAAGTTTTACAAGGATGGCAAGGAGTTCAGCGTTGCCGGCCCCGAGCTCATGGCTACCGCCAAGCCCTACTACATCTACCCCGGCTACGCCTTCGTCGCCTATCCCAACCGTGACTCCTGCCCCTACCGCGAGCGTTACCAGATCCCCGAGGCCCAGACTGTCGTCCGTGGTACCCTGCGCTACCAGGGCTTCCCCGAGATGATCAAGGTGCTGGTGGACATTGGTTTTCTCAGCGACGAGGCCCAGGACTACCTCAACTCCCCCATCCCCTGGAAGGATGCCACGCAGAAGATCCTGGGCGCCACCTCGTCGGACGAGAAGGACCTGGAATGGGCCATCGGCTCCAAGACGACCTTCGCCAACAACGAGGAGCGCAACCGCCTCATCTCCGGCCTTCGCTGGATCGGCCTCTTCTCCGACGAGCAGATCACCCCCCGCGGTAACCCCCTCGACACTCTCTGCGCCACGCTCGAGCGCAAGATGCAGTACGGCCCCGGCGAGCGGGACATGGTCATGCTGCAGCACAAGTTCGGTATCGAGCACAAGGACGGCTCCAAGGAGACCAGAACCAGCACGCTTGTCGAGTACGGTGATCCCAACGGTTACTCCGCCATGGCCAAGACCGTCGGTGTCCCCTGCGGTGTTGCGGTCAAGCTGGTCCTCGATGGCACCATCAGCCAGAAGGTGAGTCATGTACACTCTTTTCTCATTTCAGAGCTAGCGACTAGCAGAGACTGACTGAATGTGTGCTTCAATTAGGGTGTCCTTGCCCCAATGACTTGGGATATCTGCGAGCCTCTCCTCAAGACTCTCAAGGAGGACTACGGCATTGAGATGATCGAGAAGACCATCTAAGCTTCCTCTTTGTATGAAATCATTAGACTTCTACGGTTATGAAAACAATGTTTCACGATCAGAAAAAGGGATTCACAATTAGTCAAAACAGCTTGAAAGTCATTTGAATATTGTAGAGAAACTAGAACGAAAATAGAACTATATCATTATGATTATAATTGGCATTGCTTAGACCGTTGCATTCTAATTCGTCTGTACATTGGTGTGATCATCTCACTTCTATCATAACGTCATCGAGCTATACCCTCGTAGGTGTGAGAGTGGGGGTCCAAATTACAAAGGGGCTGCGATCAAATGGCTTCAAATGCCTTGTTTGAGATACAAAAGGCCATGCCAGCCCGGACGAGCCACGCCGTGGCGTGCTGCTGAAGGCACGGTCTTCAACGCCTTCAACCGCCAATCGGCAAGTACTATTTAATACGTAATTTCCGGGATTTGGTGGATGCGATCAGAGAATAGTGCCAAACCTATACCGATGAAAAGAACAAGCAAAGCAATCAGCAACTGTCTCCAAGATGTAGGATAAGATCTGAGAGGACATGGTAAGGAAGCAATTGGATGTTGGAACAGGGAAGAATGACATACCCGAAAGTCTGCTTGATGCTGCGGACGTAGTAGACGTCCCAGTTCTGTTTGGTCACATCTTCCTGGCCGACAGGAACACCGGTCCAGGCGACACGCATCTGGGTGACGCCATCAACGTCGTTTTGATCGAAATTGATCTCGAGAGTGCTGAAGTGACCTTCAGGCCACTGCGCCAGCCGCCATTTCTGGACGATCTGCTTAGGCTTGTCGAGCTTGACAAACTCTCCATTGACATTGCCATCGAAGATAGAGAACTTTCCACCAATTTGCGCGCCGTCAAATTGACGAGGGGCTCCACGGGTGAAAGCGGCGATACGTTGAGGATCAGTGAAGGTAGTATACATCTCCTCAGCCGTGGTACGGAACTCATCCGAAGCAGTGACTGTGGTGGTGTTGACAGCGACCTTATTGGTGGTGGTGGTCGTCGTCTGAGGAGCAGGGCTAGCACTCTTGGAAGTCTGGGGATAGGAGGGCGGTGTAGCAAAACCGCTGGAAGGGTTAACGCCAGGAGCATGTTGGATGTCCTTTCCGTGCTCGGCGATCAAAGCGGGAGCAAGCTTGACAAGCTCTTGTCTGATTTGGGGAACAAGCTTCGAACGAACGAGGTCCTTCACCGGTTGCTTGGAGGCGGAATCAGAGTAGTTCTCGATCTCAAACTACAGCAAGAACATTTTGTTAACTCGTCGAACTACGAATCCAGTGGTACTGAGGTATGGCGGGGCGGGCGGGACACATACGACGTACTCATCCTCCTCCGTGTCATGGGCAACCTCAGGAATAGTAATGGTGCCACTAACTGACTCCTCGTCCTTCGTCTTACCTATGGGGGAGCTATTAGTGATACTCTCGGGATAGCTAAACCGCAAGAGTCTTACGAACCTTCGTACTCTAGCTGTAACTTGACATCGAACAAAGTGATGACCTTGCCCTTTCTCTGGCTGACGTCTACGTCGCCGTCCATAGTCAGTAGGTCCGAAATCTTCACCGAGACGCCATCTTCCTCAGCGGACAGCGTGCGAAGCTTCTCTTTCAAGTAATTTTTGGCCCAAGCAGAGGCATCCTTATTCACCCAGTGCCAGTTGTTGGGGTTGTGGAGGACCATGATGATCTTTTGTAGCTGGAGGTTCTTGATATGGGAACAATTTGCTCGCGGTGGAGAGACCAGGGTTACTAGGTTCTGCAGAGCAATCGCATTAGCAACTAATGTCAAGCAATTGACGTGAGTGGAGCGAAGATTCCAATGCAAAATGAGTGCTTCTTTGTCAGGGATCTCGGGTAGCGTTCCCGGACCAGAGCTAATCAGCAGTGGAAATGGTTGATAACCACCCCGTCTGACTGGTGCCAGCTATGATATCTCATCATATGAAGCGAATCTCAAATAGTTGCGAGGTCCAATGGCCTTGCAAACGATAGGGAAAAAGGTGAAGGGAAAGGTGCAAGGATTACTCACAGTGACACGCAGACTAGGTCCAAAATAAAGGACGCTGCAGAAGACGTAGATCAATTAATCTTTCTTACTGCGGAGATGTGCTGATCTAGAGAGGCAGAGAGGGGAATACCGTTATGGGGGAGGGGTGGTTATTAATACAGCAGTCTGCCCTCGGGGAGTGCAGCAGAAGTGGGAAAAACTTCGAAACTGAGCAGATCCAAAAGGAAAGCTCTAGAAGCCAAGCGATCACGTGATATGGACCCCAGGAGAAAGTGGACACCGCAGTATGACGGGTCGAATACGCCTCTGCAAATGGTCAGACTGATGAAAATATCGAGATTGATGGGCGTTGTTCTCCATTGTAGCTTCTGAACATGTGTATCTCATAACGAACGTATATGGGTATCTTCGTAAACACAAAAACAAGTAGATAAAGCGATGAAGAGGGAGTGAGCAGATGTCCTCTCTCATGCCTCTTCCAACTGCTCCAATTCATCCCAGCCATTTTCATTCATAAGATATGTCTTCACTCGCTCTCGAAGGTCCTGTATCTGACTTCCCAGAGCTTCAGTCCATTGTCCCTCCACTGTAGCGACTTTATCTTTCAGATCGTTGGTCAAAGCGAGCTCTTCATCTGCGCGAGATTCCTGCATTTCACGTCGCACAGCATCCTCTGCTTCGCCCTGGCGGATACGCTGGGCCTCCATAAGCTTACAGTTGGCTCCCATCACAGCAGACTTTACTTCGTGCAACAGGCAGAACAGATTAATTTGGGACTCGATGAACTGATAGCTGGATTTCTCCGCGTGCGACAGGAGCGTGTAGAGGTACTGTAGCGGGTGCTCGTGGTAACTCGGGTTCTCTTCGAACTCTTTGGCAGGGATCTGGATCTGACAGCCACGAAGGTCGTTCGGAATTTGTTGGATCAGAGCCAGCAGAGAGGGCGCAATGTCCCAGAAGGCCGACAGCTGCACCTCGACCCCCCGAACCACATTCTCCTCGATTACACTTAGGAAGGATTCGAGACGGGACAGTGCTTTCGCTTCGTACGCCACCCGTCGGTCGAGAGCATCTTGGGCAAAGAAGGCGTTGGTCTCGCGGATCTTCTCCTCGTTTCCCTTTTGCCTATATGGTAGCAAGACAACAGCCTTATACTTCGCATCGCGATCTGCAACAAGGTCGTACGCTTCCCGATGCAAACCTTCCCGGCCTTCGAACAGCCATTTGAGCTGTTTAAGCTTCTCCAACAATTCCGGTTTTTCGTCGCCCTCTTCCTGCGTCTGGTCCGGAGTTTCGTGCTGCGCATCATCAAACAACTTTCCGATCAATTCGTCAATGCAAGTGGTAGCCCGATTGATTCGGTCCGTTAGAATAGCATGTATCGGGTTCATGACCGACTCTTGGTACGTATCCAGCTCTTTCTTAACTAGTTCCCTCTCAAGTCGATTTTCTTCTTCGATCAAAGCGGCTTCAGCCTCGGCGGCCTCCGCGAAGGTTATACTACCTTGCTGGATCTGGCTTTGAATATTGGCTTTGAACTGTCGGCGACCTTCGTCAACTGTCTCCCGATGGCTCTTTAATAAGTGTTCCACTTCGGACTGATGCCGCTGTCTTGTTGCTTTGATTTCAGAAAGATCGCTGATTGATCGCACCAGCGTTCGGTATGCAACGAGGTCCGGGTGGCTGTTGTTGACAGCAGGATGATGCCGTGGATAAGGTGGGGGCAGAGTAATCAACCTCGAGACATCGAGTTTCTGGACTTCCCTCATCCGTCCAATTCCATGACGTGGCGCGGAGCTGGGAAAATCTGAGGGACTAGGCTCTTGCTCTTCATGCCATCCGACTTTTTCAGGCGGATATTCGTCTGGTCCATAAGCGGCGTATTGACTCGTCGCATTTGATCCGTAGCTTTGTTGACTCGCGCCGAAGGACTCCTGCCCTTCCGCCCATTGCATAGCTTCCCGAGGCACTCCCATGTACTTTGACTCGCGCTTTGATCGCTGAACCTTTCGTTCGCCGCCCTCGCTCTCTGAGCCAGTCCTCGACTCCCACCAGCGACTGGGCGCCCGGCCCCTGGAGCTCATCTCGTCGTTACTCATACTCATGCTCGCGATGGGAGACAAGCAAGGCTTGTAATTACTCCACCAGGCAGATTCAGGGCGGCTCGTAGGTATGTCTAATGCCGGTACTGCTCGTGGCCCGCGTGAAGGCTGCCGAGAAAGGGATACAGTTGCTGCAACGTTGTACTGAGATTCGACAATTGGCTTTGGCGGTAATTCAAACAGCTTGCGGCGCGCTGCCTCAACGTCGAAAGTGCCCGAGTCCCACACCCTGCCGTATCTCTCGCGTCTGATCTGAGACTCGGCAATGATGAAATCCGCGAAAATCCTCATGGCCTCCGTCTCATTGACAGCGCTGGCCTCCTTCTCGATGAACTCTTTGTGCCTTTGCATGGCATCACGAATAAACCCCAGATCCTGACTGAGAACAGAGTCCAGGGACGATCCTTGCTGTGCTGACAGGCGTCGCGGAGACAGCGGAGCGACAGCGGACAAAGTATCGTTAGGAAGGTGTAATATGTGGGAAACTGGACGTTCCTCACTGGGGGTCAACCGAACCGATGATCTCACGTCTTGACTCGATTGCAATGGGGGCGTTGGGAGAGCTTTTGGTGGCAAAGCCTGCGAGGCTGCGGCCTTAGCGAACGTTGGGGATACATTCTCGTTGTCGGGTGAGAATGGTGGAGTTTGCGCAAAGGCCCGAGACGGCCCTGCCGGACTGGGTTCCGCTCTGGGAGTGGAAAAGGAGGAACGGCCTGAGAATAGACCTGTAGAGGATGCCCTCGACCGTGTGACAGGTTGCTGCCCGTCAGAGCCGGCGCTAGCGGTGCTTCGAGGCGTAAACTTCGATGAATTGGGGTGCCGCCCGTTTTCATGACTAGTGTTTGAGTTGTCAAGGACGAGATCGGAAGGCTTCACTTGATCTA